GTAGAAATACTGCTAGTCGCTTCATGCTACAGAAACCAGGATAAGCATTGGCCTGATAGTCCACTTGGCTCACATGCAGACTTAACCTTAACTAGAGCTAATTCAATGCAAGGGCCAGGAGGGAGCAAAAGATGTATAATGAATGTGATCCCGCGTTTTTAAATACGGTGAAGAGGATGATAATTTTGCATTCTTTGTGACGTCATAACATGCTGATTCGAGAATGATTTTCTCCCAACTAGTTGCCAATATAATGCGGTAATGCCATCTCAAAATCGCATTTAGTTTATAGCAACTTGACTCTGAAAAGATTGACTGGGATAACAAGGCGCTGTTAGAATTAAACAAGGAGTCTCTCTCAAAACGAAGCGAACTGTCAGCCAAGGTAAATACATGTATATAACAATGTGATTTCTAGAACCAGTGGTCAAGAGTTTGAGTTGGGTCGAAACATTTTCTCTCAAAGTGCCTCTCTCCACGGAGAGTTTGAAAGCGTATTATGTCTTACATGTGGTAGGAGACATGAACTGCAGTGTAGGTGACCCAGCGTATTAAGCAACAATTTCAGAAAGAGTATATGTTTGCTTTTTTTGTGATTTTGCTCTTCTCGATCCACCAATAAAACCTTGGATAGTAGTTCTATAGTCATTACCTGCACAGCCTGGGGCCAAGCACGGTTCATGTTTTACTCATGATTTAATAAGTCGTGAAGTTTAGTAACCCCTATTTTAATTATCGAATTGTGATTAACATGTTGAACTAACATGTAGAGTTAGCCAAGCCTAAAAGAGGAGTTCCTGATTACAAGAAGTTAACCTAGCTTGAGCTTTGGGCAGCGGTCAACTTCAAAAAAGCATGTGACTCCGATGAGTTGTAAACTTGAGCACGTGATATAGTCACGTGATATTGGCCAGCAGATAAATTGTTTTGACAGGTGTCAATTTAGATAACAGATTTCCAATATCAAAGATGTACGCTGTAAACCAAGGCGGGATGTCTCGGTCAACTTATTAGCTGGAGTATGGCCGCCATATCCTGTTGCGCGACGTCGTCGTCGTAGTCGTTGTCATCTGTACGTGCCCACGATCAATACCGTTAGCCCTGATGACCATGAGAAAAGCAATTCACGGGTTTCTATGAGCAAGGTGCTCCGCTTGGCGGCCCTTCGGGCTGCCGGAGCTCCGCGATAACCTTTTTGCTATGTGGGCTTCATGGCAGACAGCACCATAATGTAGTGCTACGTGTGCAAGAAAATGCAAAGCTGAAGAGTAATACTTGATTTTTCTTTGTTTTACAGGGAATTTCAACTGAATCCCGTGATCTAAATCTTGATATTGCCAAAAAAGTAGCAGAAAGAAGTTCTCAAGGACGTCATTGTCTTGAACTTGGTGATATACATAGCCAGGCCAGAAATTTTGAGGAGGCAGTAGCCTATTACAAACGATGTCTATCTTTTTTTCAAGAAGAAGACAGGGTCGGAGTAGCAGATGTGTATGGTAAACTTGGCAATGCTTACAACAGGGTTGGTAAGTTTAAAGAGGCCAATGAGTACTACACAAGGCAGCTTATGTTTGCAAAAGAACAGAGTGACAGGTCTCAGGAGGCACAAGCACTTGAAAGCCTCGGCATTCTTAATCTCTTTCACTCTCAGTTCGGTGATCTTAGAAAAGCCGTAGAGTATCTCAATAGATCTTTAGAAATTAACATTGAGCTGGACGATATATCTGGAGAAGGTCATGCGTATGGCTATCTTGGAATTGCGTTTCATAGGCTCGGTGACTTGGAAAAGGCCCTGAAGTGTCACCAAAAAAACTTAACGATCGTCAGACAGTTGGGCGAAAAGGCTGAGGAGGGAAAAGCGTATGGGAATTTGGGGCGTGTCTATCGAAGTCTCCGTGATTTCAATCAAGCCATAGTGTACCATGAGCTGCAACTAAGCGTCGCAAGAAAACAGACCAGGAAGGTTGATGAAGCTATTGCGCATTATGACCTTGCTTGTAATTTTGAATCCTTAGCGGATTCCGCCCGAGAATCCCAAGCGGATTCCCGAGAATCCCCAGCGGATTCCCGAGAATTCCCAGCGGATTCCCGAGAATCCCCAGTGGAGTCCCGAGAATCCCCAGCGGAGTCCCGAGAATCCCCAGCGGAGTCCCTAGAATCCCAAGCTGAATACTTAACGAAAGCTCGAGAACGTTATCAATTTTGTGCAGAACTGTTGAATAACGTAAGACCTCGTAAAATTAGTACTTTCAACGACGAGTGGAAAATTAACTTGTTTGATGAATACAAACATGTCTACAGTGATTTATGTAGAGTTTTATCAAAACTTCATTTGGATTCGGAAGCTCTTTTGGCGGCTGAACAAGGCCGTGCGCAAGCTCTCAAAGACTTTATGGAGTCTCGTTATCAGATTGAAACAGTTCAACCTTTCTCAAGTAAACAGGACGGAAGGGTTTCAGATATATACAGAGACATTCCAGCCAACACTGTTTTTTTGGGAATAGACACGGACACTATCAATATTTGGCTGCTGATGCCAGGCCAAGATGTTCAATTTGTAAAAAGACCAGTCCATCCTACCCGTAATGCGACAAACTTCCTGCACACATTGATACAGAACGCTTGTTGTCGTTGTTCAGTTACTGTACCGCTTCGTGGTTTTCAGAATTCATTGCAGTTAGATGGGAGCTCATTAGATGATGAAGACTCAAATGAATCTGATAAGTTCACAGTTTATGGCATCGAAGAACTTGATAAGGAAGAGAGAAATCTTGGAAGTTCGTTTCTGTTGGGTGGAAGCCCATTGCATGAGGATGAAAAGTTATACCAATCAGAAAAGTCCACGCCTCACGGCATTGAAAAGCTTGATCAGAAGGAAACACAGACTGGCAGCTCATCTCTGTTAGATGGGAGCCCATTACATGAAAATGAAGAGTTATACCAATCTGATAAGTCCACGGCTCACGGCATTGAAAAAGTTGATCAGAAGGGAACACAGACTGGCAGCTCATTTCTGTTAGATCTGAGCTCATTACATGATGATGAAGACTTGTACCAATCTGATAACCCTTTCCGTACCTTGTACGACGTGATATTTGGTCCTATAATAGACCACTTGCAAGGTGGCGAAATTGTCATTGTCCCCGAGGGTCCATTGTGTTTGGCCCCTTTTGCTGCATTTGTTGGTCCTGATTCGAGGTTCTTATGTGAATCTTTTAGAATCCGGGTCATTCCCTCCCTAACAAGTTTGAAATTGATTGCCCAAGGTGACCATAGTGAGAGAGGCGCGTTACTTGTGGGAGATCCATGTGTACAAGACTTAGGGAATTGTCTACTAGGAGTCACTCTTAGTCAGCTTCCGTATGCAAGACTTGAGGTACAAATCATCGGAGAATTACTGAATATTTCACCTGTCATTGGAAGGACGGCAACAAAAGCGACAGTGCTTCGTTACCTGTCATCTGTTGCATTAATACACATTGCCGCGCATGCTAAAGCTGAAACTGGTGAGATAGCTTTGGCTCCGGATCCGATAATTCCATTCCAGATGCCAAGAGAAGAAGACTTTCTGTTGACAATGGCGGAGATATTAACTGTTCAAGTGCGGGCACAGCTGGTAGTATTAAGTTGTTGCCACTCTGCCCAAGGAGAGATTAGAGCTGAGGGTGTGGTTGGCATTGCACGAAGCTTTCTGGCTGCAGGTGCTCGTTCTGTTCTGGTGTCACTGTGGGCGATTGACGACGAGGCCACTTTAGAGTTCATGAAAGGATTCTACGGACATCTGGTAGAAGGAAGGAGTGCCAGTGAAGCTTTAAACAGAGCCATGAGATACCTCAGTGAATCAAACAAGTTTAGTGATGTTAGACATTGGGCTCCGTTTGTACTTATTGGTGATGACGTCACGCTGAAATTTCCCGACTACTGAATTGAATTGTGAGTAGATATGGTTTTATAATAACTTACTTCATTGCAACTTTTACCATATCTTATGAGCTTCTGGCGCCATCTTTCCAGAAGGGACAGCTCTTGTTAATATTGGTACTTTTGACATTCTGGTTCATCTGTGTTAGTGTTTAAAGAAAAGTAAGTGGAGATACCAAGTATGCGTTTAAACTGCAGAAGAAAGATATGCTTAAAATCTTCCGCTTTCCTAGTAGCTTAGTTGGTAGAGCGTTGGTAGAGCGGCATTCCAGAAGTCGCGTGGTTCGAATTCCTCTCAAGCCTGAATTCTTTACGCTTTCAGTGCTTTATTCTCGCAACTGCCTAAGTTTTGTTTACAAAATCAAAAAGTCCTTTCATAGGAATTACACATATTCTTGAGATGCACGATTTAACTATGATGAGAGATGAAACGTGAAATAACAAGACTATTTCTTAACAATTTTCGGAGTACCACACACTTACCATAATTTTGTGGTGCCCATATGAGTAGATTCTGACCACAGCTACCCTTCGGATGATGTAATTTCAGAAATCTTATAGTTATCCTGTTCTTTTTCAATCCTGCTGTTTTGTGTTATGTCTTTCAGGTTGCGGAGACCAGTTTTGCCGCCGAAAAAGACGCTCCGCGCCGGATGTTTTGTTACAACGTTCCTATAAACGTCTGGGATCAACTGTGACTGCTTGCCTTTTCCGTGATGTTTCTATTAAGATGAAAACTACTCGGCGGCTTGGTTGACTATTTTTTCAACTGGCATTGAACTCAACTTAAGGGTTGAAGTGCCCCAGTAGACTTATTCTCAACGTGTATACACTGAGCTGTTGACAGAGTGCTTCAATTTGCCCAGTGGTTGCTTGCTTAGTTGCATTGTATGCAAAACTCTTGGTTTACTACTCAAGTTCTGTGGTTCATTTTATTTCTTGCTTTACAGTCCGAAATATTGAGAATAAGTATAAAATTAGAAAATGTTATTGTAAGGGCTGTTTCGCTCTGCTAAGGACACCAATGTTCAATGTTGTTCATGTTGTTTCAGCAATCGAATCGGAACAATCAAGTAAAATGCCACGCATTTTTAGTATCCGCCAAAAGCAAAATTGTTATCGGCCAAACAAACATCAATTCCTCTTGAAGCGGAATTTCCACGTACAGTTTAATTTTCGACTACTTCCGCAGACACAAGCCGTTCATACATTTGGATTATTTCATTTGACGCGAGCAAAACCGTTAAAAGTCGCGCCCGGTGACGAGAGTAAAACTGCGAGGCAGTGAAAATGTTACTTTAATTCATTTTATAATATTTCTGAAAAAAGTATTTGAATATTTCCTGCAAGAACTAAATGCGTTTTCACTGTTTGTTTTCTTGTTTGCTTACAGCCGGGAACGACAACCGTTATAGATCGCTAGTAGAAATATGATTTTATGCACAATTTTCAACCAAAATTGGAACCTACGCGGAAGTGTCTCATTCGTATTACATTTCACAAACATTTTTCGTTTCTTTTTGTTTGGTTTAAAAGAAATGACCAACCACGATCTTGTTTTGACGTGACGGTCTAACTAGTCCCAGGCTTCCATCTCAAGTGGTTTTTGACCCAACCGCAACTGAAATTTCGCTTATTTTTTCCAGATGGCTAAAGCGCGGTGGACAAAGAACGATATCCGATTTTTTCAGTTCAGTTTCCCTGGTGTAGATTCCATTAAGCAAATCAAAAAACATATACCCAAAAGGTTTGAGCTCTTTAATTTTGTGCAACAAACATACAACTTTTGTGTAGTTTTGTATCTTAAATTGCAAATTAACAAATCTTATATTTTTAACCCGGGGATAGCGTAAGCGATCTATGAGTGAGTTGTGGTGCAGGTAATGCAAATGATATCCATCCGTCATCCGTAAAGTTTTTGGAGTAATTCTGCTGAACCGTAGATAAAGCTCTTGAAATCACTGTATTAGTCAACATTGTAGGCGCAATTTCTAGGTAAAGGTATCACGTAACTGCGATTGTTGCAATTGCAATTCTAATCTTAAATTAACAGTTACTACAAATAAGACCAAATGTTGGCTTTTGTAATGCGCGTTGGGAACGTTCGTGGCCTTGTTTTAGTGGCAGAGCATTTTTGATCTATTCTAACTGACTGGAGTTAAACGCTAGGGCTGATACTTGTGAACTGAAAAGTTATTTGATGTCGAACAATGCAAATTGCTGATACAGAGACGTTCGCGTGAAAATGTTTTCGATAGAATTTCTTCAAACATCTACTGCGGACAGATAATGAATTACTTGTTTCAGAGGTGGAAAAAACCAAAAATTGGGGGTCACGGACTTCGTTTCAGAGATAAAGCGTGTGGAAAACTAGTCTGATTTTGAAAAATTGGCGCGCGTAAATGAGCATGGTCAACGGAGACAAACTATCCTAGTAATATTTTGTAAAAGTGAATCCGTTGCGTTAATAATTCCAAATGTTGCGAACGCTTTTACAAAACTTAACCCTTCAAGAGGCATTTGAAACCACCGCACAGATAAACTAAGAGCTAAAAAGAACGGAATTCGATGGTGCATTCTGCAAAAATTCAAGCTTCTAATCAATTTTTTTTTTTTCATGTTTTCGCTAAACGTAGCTGAAATCAGTAGAGGAAATGATTCATCAAAAGAAAATTAAAATAGGGGTCATCGAACGTCCAAGATCGTTAAATCCAGGCAAAGCTATAGCAATGGCCATCTGCCTTTTCATTGTTCATTTATTACTCAGCGCGCGCTCGATGCTCGATGATTTTGCGTGCGCAGTAAGGATGCGCAGAAATAATTAGCGTGAGCGCCCTTGAGACGTTTTCGCGGGCAATGGTTTCTTGAGTCGGGCTGTTGGAGCAAAAAAGTTCAAGCTTCATGTCGAGATCTTGAGGCACCCCAAGCCAAATTTGACGGCGTTGTTCGCGAGACAGAGTTGGAATTTCTGGAAGCTGCTATTTAAACTTTCCTGTTCATCGTTGAGAGCGGAAAAACGTAATAAGCATGCGCTAGTTTTGGTTGCGCAGCTGGCTCCAACGTTGAAAAAAACGGTGAGAATTTCATCGATCGTGTAAACAAAAAAGTTAGGAACTTTATATGCTTTCACAATCTTCTCAGTAAGCAGCAACATTTTCAAAGCTGGTGTATTGTTTTCGTGGAGAATCAATTTTTATTTTGGACAAAATTAACCTAAAGAAGGTTTCCGAACCCTTTAGTTCCCCGCGGTACACAAGAAATTGCGGTGCGAAGACTTTTTCACACTCTTTACATATTGCATCCTTATAAGCACACCACTGAATATATAAGCAAGACAGCCTCTCAGCAGGCAGCGGGAGCCTTATTTTCTTAACAGTGAAATGCGAAAAAAGTTCATGCTTGCTAAAGTATAAATAAATCAACCAAGCGACATCCTCGCGTACCTTTTTAAAGTCCGCCGTTCTTTTCACCATTGCAGGACCATTGCAGCCTGCATTATTACCTGTGCCCGCAGAAAGCTGCGCGGTGTGTTTTTCCGATCTGAAGCTCCATCGATCAATGGGAATTGCTTATACACAGATGTTATGTAGAGTTTTCGTGGACAATAGTTTACTACGTCGGGCTGGCCTTGGGATCAGAAAAGTGCAAACTCAAGGTGAAAATCTCAAGGCAATCCAAGCCAAATTTCATGGCAGAGGTGACGTTTCTGAAAGCTTTCCACTCAAAAGTTTTAAGAGCAGCAAGAGGCAATCCGCTCTACTATCGTTCTGTGTGTATCGCGCGGTGCGCTCTACTATCTACTCTTCTATCGCTGAGCTCTTGAAATATTAGCAGTGCAGGCGTTGTTTTGGAAGTCCTGGAATGGAACACCCGATAGATCAGGTCACGTTTTTCGCGCCGATGCCGTCATCTTGGTTTGTAATTGGATGTTAGATCAGTAAAGGGCTAGGACAGAGTGCGGGGGGTGGGGCAGTACACCCCACATTACTAAATTCAGTATGATAAATAGAGCAGTGAGGCTGAATTTTTTGTTTTAATGCATAAAAGAAACGGAAAAGCGTGGCACTGTTGAATTGGTACATCAGTAAAGTGGGACGGGTGGGCAACACGCATCAGAAATCATAGTGTTTGTATGGCAACCCGATGGCAAATAATTTTCTTAAAAGTCGAATTCTGAACAATTTTACGAATAACAGAGTTAATATACTAGACAAAGGATTACCTTGACCAAATTTGAGGGATGTGACTGTGCCAAAAAGCGCCCAGTCACGTTTGTTTGAGTAGCCGTATTGAATGTGGCTTTTGGCCCTATTTACCGGGTGGCCGCGTTAACGGGGTCCACTAAAAAGAAAATGTATGGGCGTTTTACCGGGACAAAAAAATGGCCGTAATAAGGAGGTGACCCTATTAACTAGGTGACCGTAAGGCGGGTTTTCACTGTACGTCTCTCATGAGATTGGTGAGCAAATTGCATGTAGCTTTTGGAGACGAAATACTAGTTTCCTCAAACTGCTGGAATGCGATTGAAAAGCTCTACATTCTGTGAGATTTAGAACTAAAAACTGCCTTTTACTGTTTTTATCTCACAATTAATAGGAAAATTAAATCGGTCGGAATGTCGGGAATGAGGGAAATAGCTGCCTCACAACTTCAGGCGTTTGAGGAACGAACAAAGGTAAGAGTAATCGGTCAAGTAATAAGTCAATCATGATCAGTCAATCAATCAATCAGTCAGTCAGTCAGTCAAAAATCAAACTTCATTTAGACCAATTTATCAATATAGCAACACCAAATGGAACATGTAACACCAATAAACCTGTGGACCTTATAACACAAGATAACTCACATTTTTTTTGATTCTGTAAAACACTGTTCTAATGAATATTTCGTCTGGCAAAGCACCAGCGTTCTGCAGGTTATTCAAAAATCAGTGAGGAATACTCTTCATTGTTATTGCACGGCCTCACATGTTTAGCCAGACTAACATTATTAGGCAATATCGGAAAAATGCTTCACATTGATTTATTTTGTAATGCATAGGCTCTTACGGGAACTTGAAATGAATAAAGAAATAATTTCAAAAGGTTTACCAAGGCAAGTGGCTCGGTTCGCCTGTTACTAGCTACGGTCCGGTCTGTCTGTTCATTCCTAATTACACTTTATAAAGAGCTCTAACTCGCGAAATAACGGGTATGTTTTCTATTTGTTTAAACAGCAATTCGGCAATCGTGGCCGTATGTGAAGGTGCTGGAAAGCGAAACTTCCAACGTGTACTCGGATAACAGCTATGAAGTTTTGAGAGGACGAATGAAGCGCAAGAGTTGCTCGAGGCGCAGCTTATTCAGTGCTCTCCAAACTTACCAATTGCATCATAACTCAATGAGCTTTAATGATGCACATCTTCAAGCATGAATCAATTGTTTCACAGCAATGGAAATGGAAATAAATCAGGCAAAAATTCAAAATCGACTATATATATCAATCACTAATCAAAGCTATTTAAGGCTCTTTGCGGTTTTACGTTATCAAGTTATGGAGTATTTTCCTTCCGTTTTGTAAGTTTTTTTTCTCTTCTAACGTTCTGCTGTAATCGCGTTAGAAAACGGTTTATGTTGTTAATTTATAGCTGCTCGGAGAACAAAGTGAACTCTGTGTTTATCCTTTATTTCGTGTTATAATAAAGTTTCCATATAACGCGCGCTCTGATTGGCTGAAAGAGCGTGCTTTATCAGAGAACAGAGCACGGGCCGATGACAGTAAGTTGGCTTTCAAGTTTTTGCTTTGAAATTTTGACAAATTTGACCCAAATTAAACATCCCCTGTGATTCAGACAAACGCAATGGAAACGAGCTATTTGTCTGTAGTAAATATGGCTCACAG